AAAACAATAGGAACCTTGGAATTAGGGTTAAAATGGTGGCACAGTGTTATACCCGTTAAATGGTTAGGAAACACATAAATGCTACAATAAATAGTGGTTGTACCACAGTAAATAGGGGCTCAGGCTCCAGCTCAACCTGGGCTGCCTCAGTGGGTGCAGTGGGTGGGTGTGGACCAGTCTCCTCTGCCCCACAGGTCCTACTGCATCAGAAGATCCACAGACAATAAAGATGGCCCTTTATCTTGAAGTTTGCTTGTAGAAGTGGGTGACGAGAGGGTTGCCACCTGTGAGTGATTATAAAGTCCCCCCCCCCAAATTCACATGATGCTCTGTTCCCTAATACATCAGTCTCATTGGAGCAAATTCACATTTTCAAAACAAGCATTAGAGTAGACTGGAGAACCTTTTCATTTTTCTTTGCTCTCTTTAGGACTCGGGGGTGGGGAATCTGTGGCCTCAAGGCCCCATGTGGCCCTCTAGGTCCTGAAGTACAACCCTTTGACCAAGTCCCAGTTTTACAGAACAAATCCTTTCATTAAGGGGATTTGTTCTGGGAAGTTTGGAGGCTGCAAGTTCTCCAGCCCTGCCGGGTTATAGGCCTCATAGTGAAATCACTGACCTCCTGTTTTACTGCTCTCAAAGCCTTCTGATTTTTTTCTTCTTGTACCCTGAGTACTTTGAGGATTAGTAGTCATCCTTATGCAACCTCAGACAGTCTTCTGTACCCAGACCTCCAGGACAGACTCAGAGTTGAAAGGGAAGTCAGAGGTCCAATCTATCCCTGAGTGAGAATCCCTGATACAAGTGGTCAGCAAGCTTCCACTTGAAGCTATCCAGTGATGGGGGACTTAGTACCTTCCAAGGCTGCCCATTGCACTTTTGGATAACTCTAATAGTGAGGTAGTCAAAATCACCCCCTCTGCTTTTTGGGAACCCTCCTGAAGCCTTTTCTGCTCATCTGGGACAGACCCAGCACACCCCTTTGGGGGGCCTCACCAGGTGGTATTTGGGTTCTAATCCGTGCTTTCTTTCACGAAAAGTCTTAATTGACAGACATCTATTCTTCCAGATCCTTTTCTCCAAAGAATCTGCAAATAGCTAATAGAAAAGAGGAGCGTGCAAAGGACCCTGGAAAGTATCTCCAATTGTCTAAATCACTAAAAGCAAGCTGAGACTTGAAAGAGCACAGAGGGTGGATAATTATAGAACTCACCATAGCAGACTGTCTTCATGCTCAGAGGATTACCTACAGCATGTCTTAACTGGACACTTAGCTAAGACCCTAGTGATAAAGGCTCCATTTTGTAAAAGTTTAGAATGAATCTGGGTGCATTTTCATTTTTAAAAGCATTTTTTAATGCACGAGTTATATTTTGAACCTCTGCCCCACTCTGTAAAAGGCTTTAGTAAAAAGGGGAGGAAAAGCAGAAATTTCAAGTGAAGCACTGCAATCTTTTAGAGACGAGCATTTTTTTCCTTATTGACATGCAGTCCCAAAGAATGGAGTTTGTGAGGAGGCAATGTTATTGCTTCAGGTTCATCCTGGCGTGTTCCAAGTGCCAGATTGTCCTTCTCCTCATTGTTAGGGCTTTGACAACCAGGCAAAGGTGTTCTGTAGCCGGAACACCTATAATTAAAAAGAAAAAGGCAAGAGAGAAATTAGTGCTTGCTTATTAGGAGAGTACTTTGTGACATTTGGGTGGAAGAAAATGTGCCCCCGAGCTGGGGGCTTCCACAAAATGAGTCCGATCTTGGAGGCTTCCCTCCCAACATCTCTCCCTCCCAAACGACCATCTTTTTAGCTCATGTTGCCACCACCCAGAGTTGCTTCTGGGAAGTATCAGAATATAGGGGGCAGCTAGGTGGCGCAGTGGATAGAGCACCGGCCCTGGAGTCAAGAGGACCCGAGTTCAAATATGACTTCAGACCAGACACTTGACACTTACTAACTGTGTGACCCTGGGAAAGTCACTTAACCCCAATTGCCTAAAAAAAAATATATATATATATATATATATGTGTGTGTGTATGTGTGTGTATATATATATGTATATATATATATATGTATATATCAGAATATAGTTCAAATATAGCTTGTCTGAGCACTTAATATAGTAGTACATATGTTGGGGACAGGACAGCCTTTATCCTAATCCACAGAAACTGAAAAGACAACCGAAAGGCCTCAGTAGCCCCTAAACAATCAATACACTTCTCTCTCTCTAGCGAGCCCCACCTTTCCCCAAGATTCAGTTGTGCCCCAGCTTCAGAGCACTGCCTTCTGGTGGTGGGACCACGTTGTAGTTTAGGTTAACCCTGCCCTAGAAGGGTAACATGCTTAGGGCTATTAGAGAGGCCTGCACTGTCCAAATAACTCTGAGTAATAGGAATTTGAGGTCCAGGAATGCTCTTCTCTGGTCACATGAGCAAGAGCATATGCAGTTCCCATGTGCCTCTGCCCCAAGGCAGTCAGTGGCTTCCTGAGGGGGAGAAAGGTGGCATTCTCCTGATTCCAGCACCTAGGTCCAGTCTTCTTTGTTTTGCCAGGTTGTGCTCTATCCTCAGAGAAGGAAAAAAGCCCAAATCTGCAATTGAAAACTTCCTTTTATAGGGCAGCAAAGAGAGATGGCTGTTCCCACACTGGTCTGAGCCAACCAGATTCATCCCTAATCACTGAGGACTGTCTTCCATGAGGAGCCACCCCTCTGTTAATATCCTTTTAGGAAAATGCAATCCAAAGTCCCAAGCAAAGGCTCACCACCCACTTAGTTCATCAAGTTGATGGGGAACTCCCCTGCCCAATCCCCCAAGCTCTTGCCATCATGACGTGACACATGGTCATCAGTTCTCCTTCCGAAAAAGCCCTAATCTCTGGAGGACTTTGAAGGGCCCCCTTTCCCCTCAGGAGCAAACAGAATAGAAGCCAATCGCCAGGACGAATGGGTGCAGCCCCAGGCTGGCCCATCCAAGCTTCCTGCTTCCTCCCCCTTTTTCACTGTCAAATTCTCAATGGACTTCTTTCAAGCAGCTGGACCAGAGTTCCCTAACTGGGGGGGGGGGGGCAAAATCAAGCAGCTGGGGTCAGTCTC